ATCTATTTATGTAGCCCTGTCTTTTTCTCACTTGTTTTCACTCTTCACTTGCTCCTTCACACACTCGCATTTTCATGCTTTATCTGGCACACAAGCTTTGTTTGTCAGATTCTTGTACACACTGTCATGTAGTGCCTCTTTTCCTCACACCTACCACTCCATAGTTTTACATGTTCACATACCCTTCATCAAATACTCTCCTGCTCTTACCAAACAGCCTCACTTTGACAATGTTTCCCACAATGCTTTGTGTATTACAGGAAGTAAAGCCCAATTTAACAGAGCGGATACAGGACTATGATGTCTCTCTGGACAAGGCCCTGGACGAGCTCATGGACGGGGACATCATTGTCTTCCAGAAGTAAGACTGTTTGAGCAGTGTGTGCCAGTTTGTACCACCATATATTTAGGAAGGACCAAACAAATAGAAAACACAGAATAAGGGATATTTGAGAGCATGTTGTCATCAGATGCCAGTGTGTTTGTTGTTTGGGGTAAAGGGGGAGCATACACCAAGTCTGTAGTGGCCTGTCTGTGACATTTATTACTTTAATCCATTTCAGTTTTAGGTTTTGCTCAGTGTCTGATGTATTTTGTCCTAATAATACAACAGAGTTTCTGGACTTTGGGTATTTCTGATGAAATGCAGAAACATAAGGGTCAGTAATTTAGATAGGTGTGAACATTTAGACAAAGATCTGATGTTGTCAGAATGGTTCAAGTCTATGCCATTTCAGTGCTTCTGTCCCTTTATTGTTTTGTGCCCTCTTCTTAAAATCTCTCTCCCAACCTGCCATAACCTTCCTCTTCACCTGCTTTTTCTGTCCTCCTTCCCCCCCGTCAACACTCCACATCCTCCACCTCAATTCATCTATTTTCCTACCTTTCTCCAATCATGCAGGGACGACCCAGAAAACGACAGCAGCGAACTGCCTACGGCTAAGGACTATTTCCGGGATCTCTACCACCGGGTGGATGTCATTTTCTGTGACAAGACCATCCACAACGACCCCGGCTTTGTGGTCACGCTCTCTAACCGCATGAATTATTTTCAGGTATGGTCCATCCAGGAGCTTGAAGTGAAGGGCTGGAGTTTGTGGCCTCAGTTTCCTGAATTCAAAACTCAGCTGGGTCTTGATATTAATTAATGTTTTGGAACTTAGTCCTTCATTAATGCTGATCTTAAATATTAAACATTTCCAAAGAGCTGCTGTGTAAAGAAATTGGTCGTTTTGAATTCTTTGTTTTGACTCCTGACAGTTTGAAACAGGAGTTCAGTTCAGTTTTCATGTGTTAAATTGGTCGAGTGAAAGTGAATTTATTTTGGTAATTTAGTGCTATTTTATATTAACCTTTAAAACACCAGATGTAAGTGGGGAGGACATTTTGGAATTCAGGGACTGTGTTTAAATCTAATCATGGAGTTTCTCTTTAAAATCAAATGATTCCAGTGTTTGATGCTCTGAATGCTTAAATCTGCCAGACTCTCATCTTTATGTCGTACCAGTCTTTTCATTTTCCTTGTAATCTCCCTGTTGGTATCTCATCTGACCTCAGAGATTTTACCACTCATGATGTTTGTGCTGTTTGTCAGGTGGCCAAGACGGTAGCGCAGAGGTTGAACACGGATCCCATGCTGCTGCAGTTCTTCAAGTCACAGGGGTAGGAGGCTTGTCTCATCCACCAGAGCATATGAGCAGAGTGGAGTGGTGAGAATTTCCGCACCAGGCCGCTCCGCTCATCATTGCACCCACTTGCTCCCAAAAAGGGGGAAAACTTTTAGCTTAAACTGTAGCCTTACATCCCAAAGAGCTCAAGAACGAAATAGAAATGATTTATGTCAAATTACAGTTGGGTCTACATAACAAGGGCCTAATTAAATAAAATCTACAGTACACCTCTGTGACCTTTCAGTTTCCTTTATAAAGTGCCTCAGGAATTTCATTATTCATCTCGCAGCGGTTGATTTTTGACTGAAAAGTGTTGGATGAAAATTGGAGCGGGACATAGGCGACGCTCCCTGCTTTCTAAAGAGCTACTCTCTAGTCTGTCCAAAATCCACCCGCTCATGCTCGCTCGCACTCTGCTCACATGCTCTGTCATATACTTACACACACACACACACAGAGAGAGAGAGAGATAATAGATGATTGTCTGTGTGTGATATTATTGATCGTTTCATAAATGTCAGGTCCCTGTTCCGACAGCAGAAAGCTAAACAGTTTGACAGTTTACATAAAGACCCAGGATGTGCACAGTCTGGATGTAGGAACACTAACATACTGCCCTCATCACCTTTATTCAGCTGTGGTGCGTACAGGAAAAATAAAAATATGACTGGTACATTGGACCAGACTTTGCAACATTGCTGAAAATGAAGAAAATCAGGAAGAGAACTTCAGCATTTGTTAGCACCTAATTACCTAATTATGCCTTTGCTGTGGAATAATTGCTCATTGTTAAAATGTAAATGAGATTAATTTACAGTCTCACAGCTTGTCATGTTTGCTTTTACCACTTGCAGCTGACAGTGGAAATGTTGCGTAACTTGTCCCCCCCACCTTTCTTTGTTTTCCCACTTGTCTGGCTGGCCCTCTCCTCGCCTTTATCCACTTCTCCTTCGTGTCTTTTTTTTCCCGAACCTCTGTTCTGCTTCACCTGCCGTCCTCCTTTCCTCCCCTTCATCTTCCTCCCCCCCGCCTGGTGGTGTGGTGGCTAGGTACAGGGACGGTCCAGGGAATCCTCTCAGACACAACTATGAGGGGACGCTCCGGGACCTGCTGCAATTCTTCAAACCTCGGCAGCCCAAGAAACTCTACTACCAGCAGGTAGGAGAGCTTTGCCAACTCTGGACTTTGATATGCCAGCACTGTCAGCAAAGACAAAGCTCCTGCTGTCTGTGTTTTTTGTTTTTTTCCATCCTGTTGCTCATCATCCTTTGTTCAGTCTTTGGATCTGGTCGGTCTTTTCTGTAGTTGTCTTTGCCTGTTAACCCTTCATGAATGTTTTCTCTTTCTAAAAAGATTTTTGATTGCATGATAGAAAAAATATTATAGATGATCTATCAGACCTCATTCTGAAATCATTAGGAAAAGATTCCAGCACCCCTACAATCATTTCTGTGGTCTCTGTAGTAAATCACTATAAACCCAGGCTTATGTCAAACCTAAACCAGTGGACCAAGAGGTGTTTTCCTTGTGATGTGGCTTAGTTTCCAGTAGACAGTCCTAGCTGAACTAAGGTACATGAACATAGATGCATCAGAAAAAGACCAACTTCCAGAGAGGTCAAACCTGTGCTCATCTCTTTCTTCACTGTATTATTTCAAAAAATAGCTGCGTCTTGAGTACATTGGTCACCTGGATGTTGTTTTTAAAGTGTTGTATAAATTAATTTGATTTAATTTGGAAAAAAAGAAAACGCACATTGTATTGTGTGTTGCACCAATCACCGCTGCATGTCACTCTTTTCTTCAGGATCACAACTTTTCGCCCTCCAGACAAAACTGATTCTTTTTTTTATTTCTCCTGTTTGTGCATAGTTAAAGATGAAGATAACAGACTTTGAGAACAGGAGGAGTTTTAAATCCATATGGCTCAACAGCCAGTTCAGAGAGGAGGTAACGCAACAGCTACCTGTGTCTGCACATACCAAGTCAGTTGTTTTGTGTGTTTCCAGCAGAGATGTGAAATATGTGTGTGTTTGTTTCAGGAGATCACCCTCTACCCTGACAAGCATGGCTGTGTGCGGGACCTTTTGGAAGAATGTAAAAAGGCAGTGGAGCTCTCTGAAAAAGGCTCTGAGAAGCTCAGGTATTTGGTTGTTGAATTAATGCAAATGTTAGACATGTCAGTGACTGACCAGCCATTTTTGAGCTTTTATTGTGAAGGAGCTCTTAGCTGCAGGTGTCTTAGTTTATGTAAATTAGCATAAGATTTGGCACATTTTATTTGAGGTTAATGTGCATTTTTGAAAGATGTTTTTGTTATTCAGACTTTTGTGCATAGTTTAATTATGGTCTGGCACTTTTAACTCCTTCATGCCCTCAAAGGTGTTTGAGTCTAAAGCTATGTTCACATCACAGCCAAAGTGACTCAGTATGTTTTGTCTTCAGTTAATGTTGTTTTATGCTCGGCAAATTAGGTTTGTCTTTGACAAGCTGCTGTGAAGTGTTAATGCTTCCCTCCTTCCATCTCTTCTATCTTTTCCCGCTGCAGACTGTTAGAGATAGTAAGCTATAAAATCATTGGGGTTCACCAGGAGGATGAGCTGCTAGAATGTTTATCTCCGGCTGCTAGCCGCACCTTCAGAATAGAGGTAAGTGTGTCAGAGAGACATTTCCTGTGCATCTGTCTTTTGTTAAAGTTCTCTTTAGTTTATTTTTATTCACTTTTCCTCTTTTAGTGATTCCTCCACTGAATAAGCCATCAGGCTGACACTGTTGTGTTTTTGGTTGACATTATTTGCTAAGTTTGTTTACCTTGATGGCCGTTATTTGGACAGGTCTGATACTTCAATATAATCAGGTTTAATTTGCATTAAAGTGGCAGGTGGATTTCCAGCTGCTCTCTGGTTACTTTCACGCACATTTCATAGCCTGTAAATACAAGAGCAAACTCCTGACATGACTGAATCTCTCCTCTCTGACCTTTCCTGTTTCCTTCCCTCACTCAGGAGATTCCTTTGGACCAAGTGGACTTGGACAAGGACAGTGAAATGCTAATCCCTGTTGCTCACTTCCACAAGGAAGTCTTCGGCACCTTTGGGATCCCCTTCTTGCTAAAGATCAGACAGGTGTGTCACTGCGTATGTAGTGTGCACATGTGAAAAGTGCTTGTCTACTTATCACAATGGATCACTCATCTACACAGTTGTATTCTCTGTGTTCGTCTGATTCCCAGGGTGAGTCATTTCGGGAGGTGATGAGGAGGATCCAGACCATGCTGGACATCCAGGAGAAAGAGTTTGAGAAGGTACAACGGTGTGCATTCAGATACTGTGACAAAACCCCCGCGCACCGTCTCACACTAGCTTTGGTCTGTTTGACTTTTATTACATATGTGGGCAAAGAACACAACAGTTGTATATGTTCCACACTCACACATTACCATCCATACCACACTCACACAGCGTCCTCCTGAAGATTAGAAAGTGACAAGTACTGTGGCAGTAGGTGAGGCGGTGTGCAGGAGTGTTCTCGTTTTGTATTTTCATTGTGCTGTGCCCCCATGTTCCTGTCCTATGTGCAGAGATTTCAGTTTTTTGAGGATATTGTGATTACCAGCCAAAATACCTGATATGTATAAGACGGTTCAGTGTGTTTTTATTCAGCCAAAAGTGTGACAGAACTGGGAATAACCAAAGCAATGTCATGATGATGTCGAAAAATGTCCCATTGTGTTATGCAGAAAAACAGTGGTAGGCTGGAAAGTAACCGTGTGTTTTTTACAGTTCAAGTTTGCCATTGTGATGATGGGGCGGCATCAGTACATCACTGAAGACGAGTATGAGGTCAACCTGAAGGATTTTGAGCCACAGCCAGGTATTTCTGCCTCCGCTGCTAATTTAACCACTGCTGTTCTTTCTTCAGTGCATTATAGATTTAATTTTAAATACATCAAATAAAATTGCCCTAGTGATGGTTAAACTGAGGCTTTGTCAAGCAGTTACATTGAAAAGGGTTTGACACGAATGGCGCCATCTGCTGGTTGATGCAGGTGTTTTAGAGAGTAGATATGCAGACGGCCAGTATATAATGCAAATATCATGTCTTTTTTTTTGTCTCCCTTGGTGCCACCCAGTCTCTCTGATGGTAGCACCAGGGCCAGATTTAGAGGCACCGCCTCTGTTTTACAACACAATACAAAAGAATCTGTTTTTCACAAGTATTTTAAATAACCTTATCATCCAAAGTGCACAGCCTGTATTTATAATGAAATTCAGAGAAAGGGAAACTTATGGAACACAGTAAATGGGGGAAATCACTTCTGGAACAGGTTTCCAACTCTTTATGTAGTCACTGTAGTGCTCTGTAGCCTAGCAGTCAGCATGATGATGACACCAGGAGCCTGATCCATCAGAAGAGATTGAAATAAAACATTTCCAGTACATAAACAAGATAGCAGGTGATCGACCTGATTTAAGCAGCTGTCTGGGCCGATTACATTTCAGTGTTTTCGCTGGTAACATTTCTCAGTGGTGCACTGCCACTGCAAAACAATCAGTCCAACCAATCAGTCATTTAATCAAGCTCTTCAATGACTCACCTGGGAAGCCCGTAAAGCAACAGGACGAGTCACATACGCAGGTGCAGTTAAGGCCAGTTCAGATCGGTGGGTGGGAGCTCCGTCTCCGTCTCCCCACGCTTCACGTGTTTATGCTTCGGGTTTGTTTTCTCTGGGGCAGCGTAATGTCCACACACTACTATTTAAATCACCCAATCCCCAGCACATCCCTGCTGTTGGTCGCCCTGATGAAGGCTGTTTGTCTGTCCACTGTCCTCACAGCTCATCAGGAGCTGATGACTAGCTGTTCTAAAAAGTGCTTAGATTCCAAGTGTCACTGAAAAATACCTGTCTTCTATTAATCCATAGATTAAAGTGTTTTTTCACCTCTATAGAGGGGACAGAGATACACACTCTGCCCCCATCCCTGCTCGAGGGAAGTTGCTGCCACGCCAAACCTCATTATCCACAGGAAGCACTGCTCTTCAAAAGTGCCAAAGGAAAAAATAGTCTTAAAGTGTAAAACACGTCGAGGGGTGACATGTCCATCTCCTAGTCCGTGTGGATCAACACATTTTATAGATCGGAAGTCTCTGCTCCATGAGACAGGCGAGTGACAGACCTGCAGGTAAATGTTGCACAGATTGTTACGTCTGTCCATCGTTTCTGCAGTGAGAGCCATCGTTTGTGTACAACCTGTTTACTTTGAGGTGACACCCAGTGCAGCCTTTGAGAAAAGTCACTCACTTCTTAAATAAATTTGGTTGCAAAATGCAGCTGATCGCTCGTAGTCTGGAGCCCGGTTTTAGTTAACAGTTGCATTTTCCTATGACACAACACTAAATAGTGAATTCTTGCACTGCGGACAGTAGTAGCACACAGATTATTTGCCTGCAGACACGTCGGCCGATGCCCACCACCTAAAAACACCACAAACTGCCCTGGTTAATTGGTCGACCACTAGTCAGAATATGAGCGGTCTTCATGATATGGATACAGTGTCGAGTTGTCTGCTTCAATCACAACACCACTAGTTTAGAGTAGAGTCCATGCTAATCTACCAGGAACGTGCATGTGTTTAGTCGAGCACTACAGAACGGGCTAAAGTCACCTAAAAAGACTTCAGTGTTTGTTAGAATCCACTGACAGCTGAGAAAAAAGTTTGCATAAATACTGATCCCAACACTTTTTACCAGTGCAGTTCTTCGCTGGCGTTTCTGTCCCTGGTTAGTGACGTTCCAGTTGGAGACCTGGTGTGTAGTGACCTCTCGGACATGTCTTCTTCCTTGCAGGTAACATGTCCCACCCGCGCCCCTGGCTAGGGTTGGATCATTTCAACAAAGCTCCAAAGAGAGGTCGCTACACCTACCTGGAGAAAGCAATCAAGATCCACAACTAAAGCAGCCTGCCCTTCCTCTTTGTCCTCCTCATCCTCCTCCTGCTCCGCCTTCCTCCCGACCTACTTTAACACACCATAACCACAGACTGTAACCAACCTTGTGTGTGTTTGCGTGCGAGAGGGTGTGTGGGCGTGCGTGCTCGTATGTGTGCGTGTTCATCGCCTTTAACACCCTGCTTGGGCACCTCTACAGCTCTGCACCGGCACTATGTCTTCAGAGAAATGGATCTTGCTGCAGCTGACAGATTATTCTTCAACCACAAAATAAACTGCACCAACCACCTCCTGACTGTTTAGTTTTGTTTTATAAATTCTCTCTCTGTGTTTGAGGCTGTTCATTTGGTTTTATTTTTTTCTGCCTGTCTGGAAGTGGGAGAAATTGGATTTTAATATAAATTAAGCAAAGAGGAAGTGTGACATAGTACAAGTGAGTGTATATGTATATACACACTATACAGTATATATATATATGAACTTCTCCCACTTTGCTCATATGAGATTTTCTTTTTTTCTCCTTCAGATTTTTAGGGGTTTTTAAATAAAGTGTTTGAAGAGGCATCATGCTGCTGTGTGGAGAGTTTGCTGGAAGGTTGTTTGCGGGACTAATAGAAAAATGGGGAGCGGGCCAGTGGTCACTTTGTGGAAGGCTTTTCTTTTGTCCCCCTTGATGCAACAGATGCAATCTGGTGTCAGGCCTGAGACTCGTGTGTTGCACTGATGCAGTTCTTTATATTTTCTGCTCCCATCCTTTAGTATAACAAACCCAACTTATTTGACTTATTTGGTTGGAGGTTCTTTTTTTTCCACCTCATTCTGTAGGTCTTGTATAACAATAATCTCCATCTGCTTAAAATAAATGGGGGAGAAATAAGGAAACTTACAATTCATCTTGCACTTAATGTCAGAGGTTTCTCAGGACTGGCAACTGTATGTTTTGGTTGTGGTTTTCAGCTGTTAAGTGATTTGAAAGGAACACTCGCACATCTGCAGACGTAACCCTTGACTTACTTTTTTCTCCATCTGCTTAAAATAAATGGGGGACAAATAAGGAAACTTACAATTCATCTTGCACTTAATGTCAGAGGTTTCTCAGGACTGGCAACTGTATGTTTTGGTTGTGGTTTACAGCTGTTCAGTGATTTGAAAGGAACACTTGCACATCTGCAGACGTAACCCTCGACTTTTTCTTCTTTTCTTTTCGGGGGGGTTTCATGCCTTAGTCATTCCTCAGAACACAGACCCATGCATGCTTTGTCTTCTCTCGATTGAAACTGTTGCCTCCTGGTGGTTGGGAGCAGTAACCACGCTGTGTGCTTGGTAGGGAGCTGCAGACACTTAGAGCCCACAGGTTTGAGGATTGTGTAGAGATAAAAACCAGCATTGTCAGAAACACTTTAAGCCCTATGGATTTAATTTCTTTGTTTGGTTTGTTCTTTTAAAGCACAGATGGAATGCTCCCCTAATAGTGCATAGCTGGCTCTGTAAAACAACATTTAAGAATTGTATATTTAAAAATATGAACGTGTAAAATTTAAGAGAAACACTCACCTTTGTTGTTGGGTACAGAAGGAGCCAGGTGTTCATATTTCTCGTGTGTAGGATTTTTTCTTTTTTCTTTTTTGTGTTCCTGATGTACCATTGATGATTTTTTTTTCTGTTACACTTTGATTTTTTTCTTTTAAAAACTAACTGCATTGGTTTTGTCTTGTTAAAAAGTGCAGTACAAAGATGCCCTGCAGAATCACACCTTAATTTGATCTTTTCCAGTTTAAAATCCTCAGTGTAGCAGCAGTGTACGACAACTATTCCTGTATATTGCCTTTTTGCTGGAAAATGTATGTTGAATAAAATTTTCTATAAAATCAAGAGCACTATATGCTGCTTGTCCATACCAGTGTTTTGAGGTGGACACAACGCTGTAAATGGAATCGTGATATCCCACTCAGTCTGAGCCACTTGGCATAGAGGCTGGAAATGGCTAACCTGCCTTTGTCTAACTAAATATAAATAAACATCTGGTTTGTGTAATCCACACAAAACCAAAGTGTAAAGTTGACACTTCACAGTGTCGGACTACTTCTTAGCCAGAGGGCAGTGAGTAGCTGGAGTCACTGCTCAGAGCCAAGAAATAGGCCAGCTGTTTTCTTGTCTTAAGCTCAGGTAACCTGCTGCTGGCTGCAGCCGCTGTAATTAGCAGAGCAATGTTAGAGCGGTGGTCGCACAGGTCGGACTACTTCTTAGCCAGAGGGCAGCAAGTTGCTGGAGTCAGGGTGGTGGTTAGCGCCTTTGCCTGACAGCAAGGAGGCTCCGAGGTCTTTCTGTGCGGCTGGACCCTGGGTAGCTGGGATTGGCTCCAGCCCCCTGTGGTTCAGGAATAAGTGGTGTAGATAATGCTAATATGTTTCTCAAGCCCCTAAAGCAAACTTAAGTAAAATTTTCCACACTGTCAGTGTGGAAATCCAGTGATCGTTGGATAAGATGTGGTGTTTCTCTGCTATACACCCCATCCCCCACCCCCCATATGACACTCTGCCATCTACTGTCATTCTACTGTTATTCCAGCTTCTCCACCCTGTGCTGTCAAAGTCTGATCTGTAAATCAGCCCCGTATGCCACCTGGCTGAGGTTAGAAGAAGGGTTTCTTGAGCCATGAGTAGTCGTTTCTAACGGGCATGGAGGAGCTCTGAGTAGTTAAGTCTGAAACAGTGGATGCCCGAGCAAAGAGGTGGCATCTTTTGCGCACAGAGTGGGACAAAGAAAGAGCAGCATCGCATCTGAGAGTGTCATAACTAGCAGGTCAGTTTGTTGGCCATGACCTTTGACCTCCCCAGATGATGAAAAATACACAAAAACAAACCATATATCTTCTATATAGTGACTTTTGTTTAATTAGAGAAACAATGTTATAAAATTGATAATAGTAAATAACAGAAGTCCAAACATATTCTTTCACCCAGGGGACAATGAGAGAGGAGGTGCTCCCCTACAACAACACGGTGCCTGCTGTCTCTCTGACCCTGTTATTGTATTATGAAGCACACAGATATTTATCACCAAGCTGAAACAAAAGCACAATCAGACAAAAATATAGTTCTCTACGATGGGCATACAACAGGATACTTCTAGATGATCTTTCAGTGCAGACGTGGTCAAAAAAGGATTTGAAATATTCAAACAATTTGACACATTTGTTTATTGATCAGTGGCTCTAGCAGCACTTGTCATTGAACACATCACATCATGGTGTAGTGTTGCTTTCATTTTGCATTGTCCATGTGTTGTAATGAGTTCATGTGACAACTCTTGGTAAGCAGGTAAACATTCAAAGGATCTAAACAAAATATCTGTGGTATATTTACAGCCAGCTTCTGTTATATATTATATAAGCTTTTTTAAAACTTCTTATTCTCTTATATTTCCCTTCATCCCTTAACTATCAAAGTAATTTTATGGCTAACACATATAAACAGGACACACTGGTCTCATTTGATTCTGGAGTGTTTAATGTCTGATTAAAAACTTGCATAAAACAGCGCCAACGCAAACCTGCTCTCCAATAACTGTGCAAAGATGAGTAAATACAATTGATTAGCGTTATGTATCGGCCTGTTTTACAGCATTGTTATGGATTCAAACATTTTCAGATGGTCTGCTTAAATATCAAATGCACAGTCTCTTAAAACAAAAAGTCTATGTACAAGCCTTCATTTGAACATTATGTTTGCAGAGGTTTTTGGGTGGGATGATGGGCAAAACCTTTTCTGCTGCAACAGGACAAAAGTGTGATGGCTCCCAAAAAGTGCGTGGGTTGTGCTTGATTTAACTTCACTCCTAGTCTGGTCGCTAACAATAATGTGTTGTAAGATGGAAGTCAATCATGTTTGATTTTGCCTAGACTCACACAATGGCTCATCCATAGAAATAAGCTACAACTGAGCTGTGACCTTTCTCTGTCATTTTCAAAAAATGGTGCAACTGCTTGCTGTTTACCAGGTAACACAACGACAGAAAAACGTGACAGGATGTTACTTCTCATTTCTATGGGTCCATTTCCGCCCAGAGGGTCATCATTTACAGCATTTTTTCTTCTCAACGTGCAAGACTCTGTTGCAGCGGGGGCAGGTGTGGTACGCGTCCTTGAAGTTTTTCATGAAGAATGGAATCAGGCAGCAGCACAGGACTAACCTGCAACACACACAGTGGGGTCATTTTTTGTTCATTTTTTAGGGACTGTACAAAAATCATATACTACTTAACTGTCAAGATCTGTTTGTCTGGTTCCACTCTTGTTATGGGGTATGTCTTGACTGTTTTGACAACATTTTGAGAACTTTTGGTGATGTTAGGGCATAGACTATAAATAAAGATGGACGTGACAGCTCCCAGAAGTGAACCCTAAACCCTTCACCCTCCATGTTAGTGGATGGGACATGAACCAAACTAAAAACTCAAATAAATAAATATGTTGTAAAGGTGGTTTCTGTCATTGTAGGTTCATATAATCATGCCAATTTGTGTACAAGTTGTCTGATGATATAAAAAGGGGTGTATTTCATAGGATTTCACAGCTTTGATTGGCAGCCTGATGCCTTCACTTCACTTCTCAACTCTGTTACTGTGCAGAATCTGGTTGTGAAATGCATCCCAAAAGCAAGATGGCAGCCTCTGTAATAACGACAGAAGTGGTGACACCATGTCCATCTTTATATGCAGTCTTTGGGTTAGGGGCACATTCACATTATAAAACTGCTTCCTTCACCAACTTAAAAATTGACTTGAGTTGATTTCACAACCTTTCTGGTTGAAACTTGTGATTTATTAATTTGATTAATTGCTAATTTTGCACAGCTAAAGTACAATATTACATGTGTCCTGTATTATTAACTAATGATGGAGCCTTGTTTTAGGTCTGCACTGGTTGCTCTCTGGTCTGCTGTGTTCACTGTGTTTAATGGGAACTTAGACCTTGGACTATGCTGGTATTCTGCAGGGACCAACAGCAAATGTACTGCCCTTGTCTCCAAGCAGATGAATGTGGCCATGCCAATAGGCCAAACTACAACAAGCACCCTGAACCACACACTCACCCGCAGCAGATGAAGAGCAAGCACATCAGCCAGGCATAGGTTCCTGCTTTGTAGGTAACGTTGGTCATGACCTGCTGCTGGCAGGAGGAGCAGGTCGTCATGCCAGGAGATCTCCCCAGCTGCGTGTCATAGGCCACAAACTTCCTTTTGCCATCTCCAGCCTGGACGCCTGAATTGAGGCCACCTCCTCCACTTGTGTACACTGATGGAGAAAGGTGGGAGGAGAGAGGAGTCGTCAAGACAGGAGGAAACAGTCAGTAATCAATGTACCAGAATAAACCGAAGCTGATTCCAGATAGTGTAACTAACAACAGGTGTGAGTTTACCTGGCGTGACGGAGGAAGGATTTTCATGCATGGAATGAGTGAAGGGGGTGTGGACATTGTAAACCTTCACCCCACTCCCCTGATCCTCTAATGGTCCAGAGGAAGAGAAAAATAGAAGAAGGGAGAAGATGAGAGACCAAACAGTTAATGAACCAGTGATGATGATGATGATGATGTGTGAGCATGTGTGTGTTTGGACTCACCTGGTAAGGCGTAGGGTGAGACATCTTTTCTTCCATCTGCACTCATTGTGCTGGACAGAGAGCATGATCTGTTGGCATGTCAGGCTAGAGTGCACAGTATCTACCACACTGTTTTGCTGTTTCCTGGCAGTAGCCGCAGGAGAAATCCCAGGGCACGTCTGTCTGTCTGTCTGTTTGTTTGTTGATTGGCATGTTTTAGGTGTGGTCATTGTTTCTAGCCTTTATGTTCACACGGAAATGCTCCCAAGACACATGATTGCTAAGGAGACACTGTATTTTATTTCTAATATCTGTAATATTTAGATTGTGTTTTATCAGAAAAGGCATTACATATCAATGCACATCCCAGTCTCCTGTAATTTCCATGATAAACCTTTCATTTAAATAATCCGATCATCCTCAATGTCCTATGTTGCTTCTTCAAGCATCACCCATCAAATTATGTAATTAGAGTTATGAAACTGTTTTTATTTACAACTCAGTCAGGTGAAACTGCATGACACCCTATTTGCATATGAAGTAACAGCAGTAGTTTTGCATTGGCAGTACCAGCTCTGACACTGGGAGAGTGAACAGTAAACAGTGAGGTTGATGTCAGTGGGATCATTTTTAAGAGATCCTACTGGATTGCATAGATGCATTAGTGGCTGTGAATCTTGTGCACGAGAGTAGTGGACTGTCTGCCACTAACAATGAAAACCACTGTGTAGAGAGTTCAATGCATTTTCAAGAAATCCATTAAAAACAGGGTTTAATTTCAAGGAAATCAAAAGGATTATAACTTTAAAAATGACTTATTGCTAAATTTTAAAGCAAAATCTCACAAAATATCAACAAACCTGTTTCACAGATCAACAGAATATTCAAATGTCTATATAATGTTCAGTCTATAACCTCTTGGCTTTTTATAAAGAAGCTGCAGCACCTTGGCTCAAGTGTACTTACAAAAACATTTAAAGTATAGAACTCTTGTACATAAATATATTGCACAAATATATATTCTCAACACGCAAAGGCCACTGTGGTCATTCGCTGTTGCTGCTTAGGAAGGTGACCTGTTCCATGTTTTAATGACATGAACCGCTGTTGTTGTGTAAAAATGCTTCTCAAGCTCCACTGGTCAAGCTGAAGGAGAGCATGAGCCACAGAAGGAGAAGGCAGGCAGTGAAGGCGAGGAATCAAAATGCAGTTAGAATTTAAATCACTGGCAAGTTATTCAGTTTTGTGTAAACTATAATGCATTGTATATTCTTAATGGTGTATAAACTGCTCATACATTAACAGATGTTTTTATGACAGGTTTAGTTTGACAAATGTCATAAAAACAGCTGCTCTGTTGCACTCCTGCTCTTGTCCACCTGGTTTTTACACCCATTGCAAAACAAAAATCATGTGACCAGATTAATAGAAGCTCCCATACTGGAAAAACCCGCCTAAAAGAAGTGCATGACTCTACTTCTCTAATCTCCTCTAATGTTTCCTCCTCTGTTTTGTCTCTTCTTTCCTTCATTCTTTTCATATTAATAAACACAGAAACATACATTAGCATAACTAAGCTTTGTTTTCTCCCTCTCTTTCTCTCCGTGCACACAGAGACACTGACTTACATTCATTTCCAGTACACCTGCTCTAAAAGTTGATGACTTGCCTTGTGACCAGAGGACGTTCTAAGTCCCTGTGGTGCAGCTGTAAAAACCCACACTAGGATGAAACATCCTCTCTGTACATTATATGCATCTTACTTTCTCTGACCTTTACAAACACCACCCAGCCCGACTTTCCTCCCCAACCATTCATTACATGCACAGAGGTGTAGCCGCAGTTCATCACCTGTCAGCACTTCGTCACCTGTCAGAAGAAGACAGACCACTTTGTCATTGTGTGGCACA